CCATGGCGGTCTGGCCATCCTTGATCATGGTCTCGTTCGGCTTCACGAACGTCCCATCCGTTTGGGTGTATCGAGGAGCCCATGGTGGTAAAACAGGAGTAGAAGCAGAGGCAGAAGCAGAAGCAGAAGCAGAGGCAGTAGCTGCAACAGGCCCGGAGGGGGCATGAGCTCTGACTGGGCGATGCAAGAGAGCGCTCGGCCCAAAAACTCGGGTCTTCCTTGTAAGAGATTCCTCCTCGAGGTTGACTCCACCGTCAGGATGAGGTCTTTTGCCTCGCTCTTTGTCCCGAACACCCCCAGCAGCAGCAGGGGTAGTAGTGATCTGTGGAGATGTGCTCGGGTTGGTAGCAGGGGTGCTAACAACAGGATCAATAGCCACCACACTCGGGATAATGTCAGAGATGGTGGCTGAAGAAGAGGCTGATACGGGAGAGGAGGTTGCTCCAGCAGCAGTAGTGGCTGGGGGAGGATTTTTCCTCCTACCAAAGGAAGGAATCTGAAGCCTGCTCATTGTATAGCCGAGGGATGAGAGCGCTAGAAGGTTGTCTGAAGTGAGGAGGTCTGAGCAAGAAGGAATATCGTTCAGAACGTCTTTCTTCAAGTAATTACTCATATCCCTGCAAACACTATAGCTTAAGTCAGCACAAGGTATGCCTAAGGAGCGACATAAGAAAGTACAAAAGCGAGGAACACATGTTTTGCTGGGACAATCGTTTTTATGAGATTTGAATTTCTTATACGAGGAGACAGAACAGATGCCAAAGGCGCTCGGGATTAGGTAATCCTCTGCAGCCGGCGAAGACCAGGCCCCACTAACACCCACAATGTTATCCCTCCAACCCTTTTCAGATTTGATTGTATCCGTACATATGGACATCTTGTCGATCGGGTAAAGGTGGTAGAATGGCTCTTCAGTTCGGATCTTACTGACCTTATAGCAAAGAAGAAGATCTATGAGGTCAAGATCCAGACCTCTGTCACGAATCAGTAGTAACATAACGGATATGATTCTAAGGAAATTTGGGTTTACCTGCAGAGGGGATATCCCCAGTCTATTGAAAACATAGTTAAAAAAGGGATGCAGAGGGAACCTAATGACATTTAGTTGAAGGTTAGTAAATAAAACCTCGCCGGGAAGAAGGCCGGCACCGGTCATAATATTAACATCCCTAGGGCAAACCCTAACTTGGATGTCGTTAGAAAGTCTAAGTTTCATACGAAGAACATCTAAATCTACAACCATGGTGAAAGCGAATGAAGGATCCAAAAGTGTAAAAGAAGTCTACCGAAAGTAAAAAGGAACAAGACTAACCTCTGGGGTAGAAAGCAGCAAAGAACGCTGCAAGATCGCTGGAAGAGTGACTCTTGAAGAATTTCACCAGATGAAACTTAGCACGGTTCTAAAAAGACAAGCAAGAGATTTGACTGATGATGGAGAGAGATGAAGACGGTAAAAAGGCATGAAGTGACATTCTAGAGCCTCGTAAAGACGAAGTGGACCCGAGGGCCGAAGCGTCAGGGAGGCGAGAAGTTTATCAAATCTAGGAACATTGATTCCGGATCCGACCGTTTTATTCCCCCATAAGAGTGTCTTGAGCCGTCAACGTCTTGATGAGACGCCTTTGATAATTACCCCCTTATTAAATAGGGAGTAATTATGGGGGCAGTTGAGGAGGCCAGAAGTGATATGGGCCGGATATGACCTGCGAACATGGCATCCGGTCTGAGCAGCTGGGTCCAGCCCATAAAGAAATACTGTCATATGGGCCAAACGCGAATAGCCCATCGAAGATGACCAAAGCCCACAGAGGAATGGGCCCAGATCTAGCAACCCATTAATGTTTGTAAATACCTATAAATATGAGAAGTAATGGGGAGAGAAATTCATTCTGTTGAAGTGTAAGAATTCTAGAGAGAGAAAATGGAAATGAATTCCTTGCATCTTCAGGATGGAAAATACATCAAATGGATGTAAAATCATCATTTTTAAATGGCTACATTAAAGAAGAAATTTATGTTGAGCAACCACCAGGTTATGTGAAGAAAGGTAAAGAAGGTAAGGTATGCCATTTAAAGAATGCCTTATATGGTTTAAAACAAGCTCTAAGGGCTTGGTATAGTCACATTGATAGTTTTTTCATAAGGAATGGATTTAGGAGATGTCCTTATGAACATGCTCTCTACACCAAAGAAGACAAAAGTGGAAATATTTTAATAGTTTTCTTATATGTTGATGACTTAATTTTCACCAGCAGTTGTAAAAAGATATGTAATGAGTTTAAGATGTCGATGATGAATGAGTTCAAAATGACAGATATGGGTCTTTTTCATTATTTCCTTGGAATTGAAGTTAAGCAAGACAGTGATAAGATCATAATTTCACAAACGAAGTATTCAAAAGATTTACTTGCAAAGTTCAAAATGGAAGAAGCCTCACCAAGTAAAACACCCATGGAAGTAAGTTTGAAGTTAAGAAAAAATGATGGGAGTGAAGATTTTGATGCTACTGTCTATAGAGGTCTTATGGGAAGTCTTATGTACTTCACTGCAATAAGACCAAATTTAATGTTTTTAGTTAGCATGCTAAGCAGGTTCATGGCAACACCAAAGTAAAGTCATTGGGATGCTGGAAAGAGAATTCTGAGATATGTTCGAGGTACAATTGATCATGGAATTCATTACAAAAGGGGTCAAAATTCAACTCTAATCGGATATAGTGGAGATGATCATAAAAGTACTTCTGATTATGTTTTTAACATTGGTTTAGGTGCAGTATTTTGGGTATCGAAGAAGCAACCCATAGTAGCACTTTCAACTACAAAAGCTGAATATATTTCTCTATCCACAGCTGGTTGCCAAGCATTATGGTTGAAATCAGTATTAGAAGATATAAAGTATTTTCAGGTGAAAGATACTGTTCTGTTTTGTGATAATAATTCAGCAATTGCACTTAGCAAGAATCCAGTTTTCATGGTAGAAGCAAGCATATTAGAATCAAGTAGCACTTCATTAGAGATTTAGTTAAAGATGGTGAAATTTTCATCAAACATTGCAAAACAAAATATCAGATTGTAGATATTTTTACAAAAGCATTGAATTTAAAAGGTTTTATCAAATTGAAGGAGAAACTTGGAGTTGCACAAGTCTAGCTTAAAGGGGGATGTTGGATGATTAATCTAGACTTGTCTAGATTCATCTAATAAGACCAAGTGATACTTGGGAAGGTAAAAAGTCATCTGGTAGATGAAGAATCTCATAATAATTGCTAGTACTTGAAACATTTTGGTTCATTGTATGTATTAAATTCATGTACTAGAAGTATCCCGGGAGTAGTATAAATAGGTCAGTTATGTAAGTGTATGGTAGACACAGACAATTGAGCAATACAAGATATAAGAATTCAGTTTTATAGAAATGAGTGTTTCTGAATTGTGTGTTTACTAATTCAGTTGAATATATGTGAGTGTATCCCATTTGTGTTCACTTGCCCACCAACTTCAACATTAATGGTGACGTGATGTTGCAACTCTAATTATTTTAGAGGTGGGTTGCAAAAGTTTAACGGTGTAGTTTACTAATTTCTGCTCATGGGAAAAGTCTAAAAATCTCAATGAAGGTTCATGGTTACGATGGACGTTAAAAGTGATTTGTTCTATTATCTTTTTAGTTGAAAGGTGGTTAGTTCAAATGAGTATATGTTATGTTTCTTCTTCCTGTTATCTTATTTTAGTAATATGTAATTAATTTTACTTAAAAATCCTAAATTTATTCATCCTTATTTTCTCAATTAACGGAAATGACTAATTTTGTAAATCATAATTTCCTGGATTAACAAATCCAAAGTGCAACAAAAATAAATAAACTACTTGCAACTAAAACTGATTTAACAAATTTTTTTAAAAGTTGAACTTTATAATATAATTACTTTTTATTTTTCAATTATGATTTTTAGTCACATGCACTTTTTCTTAGTATATATAAAAATATCAAAATATACATTTTTTTTTTAATAAGTCAATAATATATTAGCAAAAAGGAACATGCACACCTCAACCAAAGTATTGTGTTGTGCTGTAGAAGAAATTAATGAGGCATTGACCTCTCATCAAATGCGAAGCAACCGAATTTTTTTGAGGTAGGAAAACTCAATCTAGAGTGCCGGGCAGAATGGTTATGGTGTGGTTAAATGATTTTGGAATGGGAATGGAATTATAATAAAAAAAACTCGCATGATTTTGGACTTGAGGATGGGTAAAGATAGCCGGACATTAAAATTACAATTTTATTCTTATATTTTATTTTGTATTCAATAATACTAAATATATATTAAGTAAATCTTAATTTATTATATTTAAATCACTAAAACCAATGTTGTTGGCAAGTCCACGAGAGAAATGTTTCACTAAAACCAATGTTGTTGGCATTGTTCACTAAAACCTATATATATATATAGACACACACAACCACACACACAAACACGGGGACATGATCAACAAAAAATGAATTTTCGTCTATCTTCTAAAACACATTATTATGACAAGAGGAGCCACGATCGCCATGAAAAAATAAAAAATAAAAACAATTAAATGAGGCATTAGCTTTTGAACGTCTCTCTTAGTCATCTTCATCTATCTTCTCAAAGACATTATGACAAGAGGGGTAAATAGTGCAGTTGCAATTGTTGGACTCCAAAGGATGTCAATCTAAATAAATCAAATGTAGACAAAGCCTATGCCTACAGTTATAAATGAGCTAGAAGTTTAACGATTCTGAATTCGTTATACTGTGATTGATACAAGTGCAAATCATGGGTTGAACACACTATAGTCTCATCAGTAAAGTATAACAAATATCAAGTGTATTGTTGTAATATTGCTAAACTTCGGAGAGACCAGTGTAATTTATGCTACGGTTAAAAAAACACAGCCACGACCAAATACAAAGTGACCAACAATGACCGTCGATTTATGCGAATCTGACGCTTTTAAAGAGTGAGAGAGAAAAAAAAAAAAAAAAAAAAAAAAAAAAAAAGGAGTTTTGCGTTGAAGAAAATTAGGGTTTTGCGTCTTTGAGCAAACGGCACGATCCAGAGGGTCGGTTAGCAGCGACTGAGGTATTTTTTATGTTCCGATCTTTCTCATTCACCATTATAGGGTTTTGAATAAATATACTTATATATGCCTTTGTTGAACTTCATGTGTTGCGATCGGTAGAATTTGTTAAGATTTGAACTGATTGCAATAATATTATACTCTATATATTTCAAGAGATCGATTGTTTATTTACCTCATTACTTTGTTATTTTGAGCATTCGCTCACTATTAAAGAAGGAATTTATGAATTTGTTCGTTTTTAGGGTTTAGGCTGACATTAATAATGATGGCTTCTTTTATCTTTCGCTTCTCTTTGATTTATTATCAACGCATACCGGTTATTCGAAATACTTTTCTTTCTCTCTGGCGTGCTCGAACAATTCCCGCGCCTCGCTTCTTAAGTATTCCTTTCAGGAACTTGGGGAGGAACTGTTTGTTTTTCAAGAAATTCCACGGTTTGGTACTTTGGTTCCAATCCAAGCTACTAAAGCAAAGCAAGATTGGAATGTGAGCAAATAGGGGTTCCTTGTGTGTTCCCGCCATCAGAACTGGAATCGTCCGGTGTGGCTTATTTACCTCATTAATTTGTTATTTTGAGCATTGAGAAGGAATTTATGAATTTTTTCGTTTTTAGGGTTTAGGGTGACATTGATAATGATGGATTCTTTTATCATTAGCTTCTCCCTTATTTATTATCAACACATACCAGTTATTCGAAATACTTTTCTTTTTTTCAGGTGTGCTCAAACAATGATCACATATGGAGGAGACAATCCCGTTTTCTGCACAGCCAGTGATAACTACAAAGACAGATCCATTTTCATGATTTGGTAAAAAAATTATTCTGTCAGGTTCCAAAGACAGATGAATGAGGAAGGTTATTACACCAGTGCAATTACAAATGATACCCCAAATTGCTCACTATCAACCAGATTATTGAGCCCCACGAAGATTGTACCATGTGGTTGGATGATGACTTACTGAGGCTCCACGATTGGGAAAAGCTCTTTCTGAACGAGAACCGGACACCTTTAGATATTAATAGGTGATTTTGTTTCTGTGTCTTTGGTATACTAGATATACTGTTTTCATTCATTAATTTCCATTGTAATCATTTTTTTCTATGTTTGACTAATAGGGGGTGAAGCTTCTGCCTCAGTATCATTTTGGTGATAGGGTACCAACAGATTCACTTCCAGCATGGTGAAATTACAAATTATCCAGAAATTTTCTGTAAAAAGGGCAAAAAGCTGTGTGTCTATGAATCAGCCACAAATTATCCAGCGTGGGAAAAGACATGGACACAGATTTCATAGACACACAGCTTTTTTCTTTTTTTCCAAAAAGAAGCAGTCTCAGTTCTCCAAAGGTTCCTCTGCAACTATGGGGTTATTGAAAATTTTCTTAAAGGAATTGTTTTGGGAGTGGGGTAAGTCAAATGATCATTTACAAGCATTGGTCTAGATATGCATTTCGTTGATTGTGCTTTATGCGGAGTTGTTATTTTGTGAAGGAACTGTATTGGTCTCATTCCTTTACAACCATGCTTTCAGTTTTGATCTAGTTTAGTTTTTTTACTTACATTATTTTTGTGCAGGCTTGAGTCCTTGGTGGCAGAAGAGCATGAAGATGACCAAACTTATGTTTAATTGTAGGCTTATTTTATGGGTGATATGAATGCCTTGGTGCTTTTGTTTGGAAAGTTGTTTGGAAAGGAGAAGTATGGCTGGGGTCTTTGTCATTTGTTTGTGTTTGGATTTTTATTGTGGGGTCTTAAAAGAGTGGTACTTTTTTTTTATAAGTGAAAAGAGTGACACTTTAATGAACAATCATGTTTTTTCTTAAAAATTTCTTATTTCACATATTCATTCCTATTAGAAACAATGTTAGAAAGATCAAAAAATAATGTTTTACTTGGCTATTATCTGCATACTTAAACTAGAGTAATGCTTTTGAGATTGTCCTTTGACAACAAGATTTTGGAACTAACTATTTATTTATTTCTATCTATATCTAAATGAGATAACTTACTTACTGCTCATTAACAGATTAGATGCCTTTGGGTTATCTACCATTGCCAATAAGCTTTGAAAAGTATGCTTTTTCTTCTTTCTTCTTTTGTTTTTGTTTTTGTTTCCGAATTCTCTTATTTTGTGTTGGAATTGAGTTCTTATTTTGTGAAGCAACTGTATTGGTCTCGTTTCTGTTTAAAGAGTATCATGAGATGCTTTCATTCAAGTATGGCTTCTATTGCTTTGATCTAGTTTTTTTTTTGTCTTTTTTCTTTTTTTTCTTTTTCAGATTTGAGTCCCTGGACGAGCCAGAAAATTGTCCAATAATATTGCAAAAATAGTTTTTGTGGCAAAAACAGTTTTATTGTAGTACTTATGATTGGTTGTTATTTTGTTGAGTCTTGTGATGGGAAAACACTTGAAATGGATTGTTTTTATTTATTTTTATATAATTAGATTCTATATTAACTGAATTGATTGTATAATTATTTATAATTACATGCTTGAGGGTATTCACTGAGTGGTACTTTTCACCAATGGACAATCATGTTTTTTTTTTTTTTCATTTTTCGTGCATTAAAATAGGTTATCTCCCTCCCAAAAGTCAATTAGGTTTCCTGCTTATTCTTCTACTCGTAACTTTTCTCTATGTGGAGAATAACAGGAACAGAATAATCTAAAGACACATAGAAAGTAACCAAAGAGCATGCACATATAGTGTATATATACATATATATATACTTGGGATAAGGGTTGTGATTCGTTGAGAGAATGTTATTTTTGTAAATGGAATGAAGGATCCGCTATGCAAAGCTTGGTGAAGGTGTGAAGAAGAAAAGATAAAGTACACCATCATTGTTCGTTCTCTTTCGTGGTCTCACGGGTCATTGAAGAGGTGGAGTTTGGAGGGGTCATATTGTGAAGTTTCACTCTGCCGAAGGAGTATTATGTTGGCTCACCTATATGCTTTCATGCTCGAATCATGTTTGATTTTGATGGGAACATACTGAAGTGCTGTTTGGAATTGCTTGAAAAATTAAAAGCTTTTTTATTTTGAAAAATTACATTTAAATTCAATAACTACTATTAAAAGCACTTTTGATAGTAGTTATCAAATTTAGCTCAGTATAACTTCTGAATGAGTAAGAATTTGGAACTTTCAAATTTGTGTTTTTTAAGTAGAGGTAATTTTTTTTTTTTTTTTTTTTCATTAGACAAATTTATCCTTCTTATTTTTTATAGAGACAATTATATTCATTCCTTTATGGTAACATCTTTTGAAATGATATTATATATACACACACATACTTCAAGCTTTAAGGTCAAATTTAAGGGGTTTAGAGTGTGATTTGTGTGATGAGTATGAAGGCAAAGTGAAAGGGCTTTGAGAAAGCTTCCATTTGTCATCCATCTTGCTAGGGTTTGGAGAAAATTTCGAATTTAGCTTGCACTAGGGGGCTTGTTTGGCTAAGACGAGGTATGGGTTTTCTAATACCTTGAACTTTGTCTTTTGTTGAGAATTAAAATCTAGTTCTTTACTAAATTTCTTATTCAATGTCATAACATGATTTAATTACTAGTTGGAAGTAGATGATATGTTCATTTGATTTAAGCATGCTTATGTGTGATTTGTATGATGCCATTGGTGCTAAGTTTTAAATGCTACTATGGTTGTTAATGTGAATGGTGAGATGAGCATGCTTGTAGTCATATTGTAGAAGATACTATGCTTGTTGCTATATTGTAGAGAATGCCATGCTAGTACTTGGTACCTTGTTAATGCCACGTCTATGTTCATTTCGTTAAGAATGTCATGTACACACCATTGTATCTACATTGATGAAATTGAGACTAAGAGTATGAATGATAGTACTTTGCATGGCATGGAAGGGGGAAAAAGGAACTGGAATGGGTTTGAATAAAATTTTATAAAAGAAACTAAATTTCGCGAGTCTGATGCTAACTTTGACCTAGAGGAAGCGTGTGCCGATTTAAGACGCATAAAGTTGATTTCTAGACCCAAATGGTTGTCGATTTAGAGGCCAGGGATAACTAATCAATCTCGCATCGGTAAAGTCTGTTAGCGGTTTTCGGTGTGTGTTAGGGTCGGTAGAGACCAAGTTGGGGACATAGTGCATTGCATTGCATTTTTATGCATACTTGTGATAAGTTATATATTTGCCGTGATGAGAATGATCATGTGAATTAAATACTATAGAATCCCTGATGCATGACCCAAGTTCCGTTTTATTCCCGTTATGTGTTTCATGGCTCAAAGGAGTCCAAAGTTGATGCATTTGGAAACTTCTACTGAGCCTCTGTGCTCACCCCTTCCTTTAATATTTTTCAGGTCATGGCAAAGATGTAGTTGATGACAGGCCTTCCTAAAGATAGCTGGAGTTGATAGAATTATGTTTTGTTGTATTTTGTAATCAATGGTTAGCCACATCTATTCTTTTGTAAAGCATTATAATGAGGCCTTGAATGTCATGACATTTATCTTTATCCTTTTGGGACTATTTTGTATGTAATGGGGCATGAGAAGAATGAATGGCGATCAATTTAGCGATATTTCAAGTTAGAATGCCAATGATGCATATTTGATTTCATAAATGTTAGATTTATGTTTTTAAGGTCGATGTATAGATTTCATTCATCCATTTGCTCATGTGTATAACCATATTTCGGAACAACTTTTAAATCATGAGAATGTATTCAAGTGTCTAAGCAATTTGTTTGACCCATACCGTAGTTTTATAGGAGCATTTGGCCAATTTTCTAGCCAGTACTCGAGCACAGGGCCCTGACCAAGAATCATGTTCTGCAGGGTGGCTAATGCTCGAGAACGAATTTTTGTGCTTCAGCACAAGGTTGAGCTAGAGCACAAATGGGTTGTGCTTGAGCACAAAGTTGTCTGACCCTATGCTTATGTATAATTTCTTCGTTTTAAGCCCGAATAAGGTCGTTCTTGAGTCTAACTTGCATGTTTTTTAGCCATATTTCTAATGGTATCGGTTCCATTCCATAACTTTGACATGAAATAACCATTTTACCCTTGTCAACCCTAGGGACCTAGGGTGAACCCAAAGTCAAGGTTATTAATCTTTCATCATTCAATTTGGTTAAAGATGATTGGTATGTCATCATTATGACTCCTAACATATAGTAAGGTGCATAATGACGATTTTTCCCTTGTGTGTTCCCGGGACGGGTTGGGACCCGATTAGATATTCAGACCCCAAAGTTTGGGTCATTACAGTGTGTGTGTGTGTGGTAAGTATAATTTTCCCCAACTTTGATAACTTATTTTCTTGATAGAAATGGACACTAATGTTCTTAATTTTATTTTTCTTCCAATTTTCTTCCAATAATTCTAAAAATTCACCATAAAAATCTAAGTGACAGTGATTTGCAGAAATTTTGCATATTCTTATTCATAATTGTATACAAAATAATTAGTATTTGCTAGATAGGTATTTGTAAATGGCAGAGGTTGGTGATTCAGTTGGAGAGAAAAGGAAGCATGCAAAAAGTGAAACAAAAGTGATGGAAACAAGAATAATTTTATGGCAGGATTTCGTGATTCAGTTAAAGTGAAAAAGGAAGCATACAAAGATAGAAAGAAAAGAGATGGAAATGAAAGAGATTTTTTCTTGAGAGAGTAGTAGAGATCAAAGAGGAGAGAAAAAGGTCTAAAAAGAAAGAGACCTATTACAATAATTGAGAGTTAATTTTGTCATTTGATTACTGAATAAATAAAAGTGATGCGCTTACGTATAATGTTGGAGCGCGAATAACATCTATTCTCCAAATATGCACACATAAATAAATAAATAAATAAATAAATAAATATATATATATATATATATATATATATATATATATATATATATATATGAAGTCTCCAATGGCTATATCACTAGCAGTTTGAATGTATTTCACTTTTTTTTGCATCAAATGTTACATAGGGGTAGATTAGTCTAATTTATTAAATTATAAAGTTCAAAAAGCCCACTAAAAGGTCAAGTAACTAGCAGATTGGTGTCATGTTTGAAATTTTGAATAACATGGAAGGCTTAGGGCCTGTTTGTTAACTGTTTTGCTTTGGTGTTTTTGTTACAGGGCTTCATTGCAAGCCCAAAAACATGTTTGGTAGCTATTGTTTTGTTTTAAATAGTCCTAAAACATTATTTTAAATAGTATTAAATTTGGGCCTAAAAGTGAAACACCAAAATGGTGTTTTTTGTTGTTTCAATACTGTAACCCAATAAAAAGCACTGTAGCGGATGAAGTAAGTTGGGTCTAACACTGTAGCGGATGAAGTAACTTTAAAAGGCATTTGCAACATTCGGCCCGATATTTTCTCTCTCCTCTGAAACCCTAGACTCTGGCGATTTGGGAGGCGATTTGGGAGGCAACGAAAAGGAATCGCGATATTGTCTGTGAGTACTCTCTCTTCTATTTATCTCCTGTTTTAAGACCTTTCCTTTGTTATTTCCTTTGATGTTGCTTTACTTAAAGCAATGTTTTTCTAGATTTAATTGTGTTCTTGAGTGTAATACCCCTAATTTTAAAAGGATAGTCCTGGTATTTTAATTAATTGTTTTGTTCCTTGGTTAATTAACTTGTTTGGATTATTTGATTTGATATTTGATTTAATTGCATTATTTGTTTTACTTGATTGCCTTATTTGTTTTATTTGTATTATTTAGTTTAATTGGATTATCTGAATTGTTTTATTATTTATGTGTCCTTAATTAATTAGTATAGAGGTTTAATTATGAAATTAGGTTAAGTGAGTATTTTTATTACGCTAGTAAATTCTTTAGGGTTTCCGTTAGAAGTCTCATAGGTGGAAGCCGACAAAGTTTATAACGAGGATTGTTTATGGGCCGAGTTGGGCTCTGTCTCTAATCTTACAAGGATTAGGGTTTTAGAGATTAAAGCTTATAAATACATTATGACAATAAGTCTAAGGTTTACGATCATAACACTTAGCTTATAGACGTAAACTGAGTTCTGTAAAGACGGAAAGATACAGAGTGAGGTTTTGAGAGAACAGAGCACGTTTAGTGTGGGATTCAACTGAGGTTTCAAGGTCGGACCTAGGAGAGGGGAAGAGCAGATGTAAGAGGAGGCTAGACAGTCGTTCAGTGTTGCCGGAACAGTGGACATGACGCCGAGATTTCATAACTAAAATCACAGGCATGTTCTTTTCTTCTTCCTTCCCTGTGGCTTGTGTTCTGTGCACCTAGATAGTCTCTAGGGTTTAATTAATTATTAACTGAGTTTTATATGTATATTAGATATTATATTGATGATATATCTATGTTGTAATCTGTTAAATTATAAGTTATGCATGTCTGATTTCAGTTGTCTTCGTAAAACATGCTTAGTCTGTAGAACTTGCAGTTTTTGTATTTCATTTCAACTGTTGCAAACACACCATGGGGATTATACTGAACACAGTTAGGACCCTTAGGAACTGTTTAAATCAAATAGACAGCTTGGGAGCGACCGAAGACGATGCAGAAGGTCGCAGAAGTTGCAGCGGTTGAAGACGGCTTTCAAGGAGGTGAGAGCCGGCTCCATAGAAGTGGGAGCCGGCTCCCATACATGTTGAGCTGGCTCCAAGGTTAGAGGAGCCGGCTCCAGGCTAATTGGAGCCTGCTCCCAAAGTTTTGGAGCAGGGTCCACCCCAAAATTGCTTCCTGATAATGTTTTTAATGCACTTTTTGAAGCTGTTGAGTGTCTAAACTGTTTTGGAAAATTATGGAACTCTCCAGAATGATTAAGAAGTTAATTTTGGGTGTTACTAAGACTTTTAATTGATTAAAGATTACCTTTAAATTAATGGAATAAACCGTATAAAATTTATGCACATTGTATACGGTTAATGGATGGATGAAGACTTAATTGCTTAAGCTTATTTTTGGACATTCTAGTGGGATCTAATATGTTTATAAAATTGTTTTAAATGCATGATAGGGTCAGGTATTGATTAGTTTTGACATATGCATGTTTTGGACTTTGGTTGCTAAGCTACTGTTCGTAATTCTGTAGTTTACTTGGTATCCTTTAAACTAGATTTTTACTTTGGATTTAATTGCTGTAATGTCACACATTACTTTGCAATTAACAGGACTTCGAATTTGGACTGAGGAATGGTTGTGAAATTTAATTGTTGAAATATTAAATCTTATTTTGCAATTAACTGGAGTATGTTTTTAACTGAACTTGCTGAAATGTCATACCATATTCTGCAATTATTTGAGTTATAGTTGGTAACTGGATTATGAATTTGGATTTAAGTTGCTGAACTGTTATCTTGGTTCTGTAACTTATATGAATATAGAGGATTGTATGCACCGGTATGGGTCGGTGGCATACTAGGGATGGTGTAGCTCAAAACGCTAAGACGTAACCTATCGGATTAAAGGAATGAATTGTAAAATATTGAATCTTAAATGGTGTTAAGTCATATCAGCTGAATAAGTTGAATGACTAACTGGACTGTGGGTCGTATGTCACCTCAATGAACAATTGAATGACATACTCTAGATTTGGACGAACTTTAGATATATGAGTATGGTACCACGAGATGAGCTTGAGTCTCAAACTCGTTGGTTAGGGTGCGTATATGCAGTGGATGTGTAGCTGGATATAGTAGGTTGAGGTGTACCCTGTTAGGTCTAGGTACTCATGCCCACCTTTGGGTGCGTATTCGTATGTTGCCTTCTATTCAGGTTGAGACCCCTATTATAATCCAGTGAATGTCCCTTAGTGTGGATATATATATATATATATATATATATATATATATACGTATGGACTAAATAGATATTGTGAGGTATCTAGGGTGTATCTGCGTATCGGGTCACTGTATGGATTGCAGTTAGATTAGAACTTGTTCGCGGGCCTGACCCACTCCTTTATTCTTTTCAGGTACAAGACGATTCCAGCTTTAGAGCTTGATTGTGCTATTCGAGGACAGTTTTCCATTCGTCAGATTACGTAGGAGTTCTCTCGATGTTTTAGTTTTATTTACTTTCAGTTTCCAGTTCAGTTGGGTTTTTATTTAGGGGTCCACTCGATGGATTCCCGAGTTGTAATCATGGAGGTTTTGGAAATTGAATTTTATTAAGTTTTATCAGTTGAGGATTTTTATATTAGTATTCTTTTCAGCTTTTAATATTTATTCTTATTTCGTTTTGTCATCTGTGTTCGTTTTAAAATACTTAATTGTTTGATATTCCCTCGGTTTTGGGTCTGGGCCTGATTAACCCGTGTCTCGGATCCGAGGGGTATCACATTGAGGGCTTCTAAAAACCGAATAGTTTCTAGTTCTTTTAAATCCAAAATATCTATTTTAATATCTACCAGTTCTGTATTCTGTATTTGTCTTTTTTTTTTTTTGTGGGTTTATCTGATTGTGTGCAAACATCTTCTCCAAGAACTTCTATTGAACCATTATTTGCTGTTTTTTTGGAAGGAAAAAAAGATAGCAAAAGATATAGTGAAAAAGTTGAATTTTTTGCTCGGAGTTTGATAATCTTTACAGAATTTTTGTGGTTTGAGAAGTGGGTTGTGATCAGTTTGATTTGTGGGTTTCTCTGTTATGTTGCAGCTCGGACTAGGCTTATCTATCCTTCCTCAGCGACCTGGACAGATTGAATGCGATGTACGTATTTGTTTGATTCTGTATTCCAGTGGTAAATAATTAATTGAATAGTTTGGTCTGGAAAGCATATGACAGCATCTAGATTGTCAACTATAGTTTAATATATGGTTCTAGAGATGGACTGGAATTATTATGGATTAATTCATTACTATGAATCGTTGGCCTATCTATCTATCTTCAGCAACCTAGACAGATGGAATGCGATGTACGTATTTGTTTGATTCCATATCCAGGGGTAACAATTAGGTGAATATTTTGGTATGGAAGGAATATGATCGCATCTAGATTGTCAACTATAGTTTTATACTAGAGATGGACTGGAATTTTGTTAATGAAATGTTATTAATATTGTTGTTGTTGTTGTTGTTTTTTTTTTTTAAATTGAAAAATGAGTTTCTGATTATGCAGCTAAGCCAATATTTTTTTAATATACCAATGTGGTAGTTATTTGATACTTAATAATCTTGTGAAAAATAAAATTTTTCTTAATAATTTGAAATTGCTTCTCACCAACTTCTTCCAAATTTGAATTTCTTGTACTCGATCACTTTGGTTTCTTGCTTTTATCAAAACTTTCATTTTCAACCACTTTCATTTTATTCTTTTCTATTTATTTTTTCCCTTCCAGTTATTCTTTTTCAAATTTTGCCTTTATTTCACTATTTGATTTTTCTTTGTGTTTCTTTTATTCTTATTTTTGCTTATATTCATCTTTATCATAATTTTGAATTCCAATAGTCAATTGTTAAATACTATCTTTCATTGTAGAAATAAATTAAGGTTTTTCATACCTAACTTGGACAATATTTCCAAACTTCTTGATCCACAATGTTCTTTAAAACTTTAATTGCTTATACTTCCTTATTTTCTTAATTCCTTTTCCTCTTTATAATTCCAAATATAGACTCCTCGACAATATCATCCCATAACTCAAAATCTCAATTTAATGGATTCTAAAACTCCAATATGCATATATATATATATAAACCACTTGTTCATCCATTTTGCTTCATTTTTTCTTTCTACTCCTTTGATGTGGTGATTGCTAGCTATCCATTTTGAAAATTTTTAAAATTTTCACCTCTCCCCTTTATCTTCTTTCAATTATCTGTTTCGCAAGCCAATTTGCCAGCTGTCTTTTTTGTCAAGTCCAGATTTTGTCATCACCTGAAACTCAGCTATCAAATTTGTTGGGAAAAACAGAAGTGTGATGTAGAACTTTAAAATACTGAATTATTATGGAGAGGGAGAGGTGGAGTGCAGAGTATTTTTTTGGTCTGTTGTATTCTTCTTAAAGGAGATTATATCCTTTTGATTTTCTTAGGGGTGACTCTTACAAGGCCTACACACAAAGGCGAAGTATACAGATTTTTTTTTTTTTCTTTCAAAATTACTCATCCACGTAAGGCAATGCTGCAACCTTATAAATACAATGAGGAAGGTTTTTTTCTGATCCGTAAGAAAGAGATGGGAGTAATAAGGTATCTAGGTCCATTCGGTTGAATGCTATGGCTTTTATTGCTTTTATTCCATACTAATCCAGTTTGGTATAAATTATATGGCACTTGTTGGATAAAAAACACAATTATGTGGTGATGTGGTCTTTCCATGACTATGTTGATTAGTACTTCTTCTATGATGTTGAACTTAGCGTAATGTACCAAGTAACATAGCTAATTTTGGAAGTCGGTAATCATTTGCTGAACTTGTCAAGACGTGTTTGTAAGCCAATCGGCTGCCTGTATTTTTTCTTCTCATTCGAAGTGTGAACCATTTCTACGAGACTGTTAGATAGTGTGTCTTGCCCTTGAAGGATAGGATGTGTTGATTTTTTGTTTTCTTGTTTGATGCAGGGACCCAATTACTTTGAGGTTGACGTCAACATTCATCGCTTCAGCTACATAGCAAGGAAGGGACTCGACGCATTCCGAGAATACAGGTAACAATTCAGATAATACTTTTATCTTGTTACCTCCACTATTGTTGAGCATTCTGGTCTTTATTTAACGGAACCTATTGAAATAAAGAAACTGATTATTTAATTATAACAAACTCCTCAAATATAAGTGGGCTATATGTGCTTGGGCCCTTCTTGATCGAGTTCATCAAATTTCAACTAAATATGTAATGCAACCATGACAGCATGACTGCTACTGCTTAATGTCTTGCACATGTCGATATTTAGAATGTTATTAATACTTCTTCTGATATAAAAAAAAATTCTCAACGATAGGAGTTTTAGATTATGCAGCTGAACCAATAATTCACTTGGATTTGTATGCAATTTTCGTCAATCGAAATTAAAATGGTCACATGGTTGATAGGACTTTTGTTTGCTTTTACTATTATTGGCTGATATTATTGTTAATATTTTTTAACTTAAATTCTACCATTACAGATGTGAAGCGTGTTGATACTTTTTTGAAAGTGATGTGTGCAGTTATGTAGATGACGTGTCCTACTATTGAAGCTTGTTCCATGGAAGTGAAATTCGTATTGTTTGAAGTATGTCTCCTATAAGGAAAACATAAGGAAATATCTTTTTATTTGTTAAGCATCTTTCTCTTCGTTTTTGAATCCTATTGTTGAAATTTGTAAACAATGAAGTGAATTATGTTTGAATTTTGAATTATATCTCCTGTTTAATTTAATCTACTCTTTAATTTGTTTTTAATTTCTTTATCATTTTTCCTACTACAGAAGAATGAGTATGATTTGAAAAGCTTCCATTCTAGCAGGGTGCTTTTTTTTTTTTAATTTTTTTTGATATGTTATGACTCCTTGATAGATGTTTTGTGAAGTTTGACTCAAAATAGATGGATTAGAAATGAAAAAGGTGATCTTAATATCTAAATCATAAGAACACAATAAAAAGATGGAACTCTACATGTCATCAAGACTCAAGTTGATGCCAAAACATTGGTCTCGCTAAAGCAATTGCTTCTGTAATTACACTTTGGTTATATATATATATATATATTTGTGTGTTCAAATTTCAATATATTTATTAAAACATATAGATTATTTATATAGAAATAAATTTGTAAATATATTTAAAATTTATAAAAATAAATTAAAAACAATGATAACCAAACATATTTTTTGTTTCTGTTTTATTTTTTTTTTTACAACAGTTGGAGTTACCAAACATGTTTTATTTTCAAAATTCTTGAAACACATGGCTTTACGAAACATGTTTTTCATATTTCTGTTTCCAACATGTCCACAGCAAAACATCGTTCCCAAACGTGCTTCTAATTTTTGCCAAAACACTCCAATAGTAAAAACATTATTTCTGTTTTAGCCAAAAACAAAACACCTAAAGCAAAACGCATGCCAAACGGGCCCTTAAGGTACTACTCCTAACTCTCTTATTTTTATATATATATATATATATATATATATATATATATATTTAAAATAACTTTGAAGTAATGCGTCCTATCCTCCACAAATCCATCAAATATGAGCAATTACATTTTTTTTGTTTTTGTTTTTTACAAGGTAAAAAGTGTTAGAAATTAGATTAGTAAATGCAAAAAGTGCTGAGAGAAAAGGTATATGAGCAATTACAAAGAGAAGATTTTCAAAATTTGTAATTTTTTTTAAAATACAAATTTTACAAAATAAAAACTCATTTTAGCACTTAACTCAAAAGAGGTCAATTATTTATTTAATACAGTTATTTTTAGCATTTAATTATGAATAAGTGAAGTGTTTATTTAATTAAGTCATTTTAGCATTTAGTTTTGAACAGATCAATTGTAAAAGGATTTCACTTTTAATGGAAGCACTGACACTTACAAAATAATAATAATTATACTCAATTTGAATATAATTATTTTATATTTTAGATGACCAATAACCCCTCCCCCCCTCTCTCTTTCTCTCCGTATGTGTGTGTGTTGAAGAATTAGCTTAATAATAAAATATAATCTTAATACAAGAAATATAACCGATTCAAATGATCAAAATTTTGAATTTAAATTGAACTGCATCGGTCAATTGCAATTCAATTATGTTTAATTTTAACAATTAATATGGTTTAATTTGATTTCAATATTTATAAAATTATAATGGTAAAATCGACTCAAATGAAACGGGACTTGGCATGGTCTGCTAAATAAATATGATGACTTGACATGACATGACGGTATAGAACTAAATATGATGAGATTTTAATCTATAACTATCGTTAGAAACGACAGCTTCGGGTTCACGCTAGAACCAACCCAAACAAGAAGGGACGGGACAAGACCCGATTGTGTGTGCAGGCGGAGAAATGATGAAACTTTTTTAGCAAGGATATATGATTAGTGGAAAATGAGAGACGGTGGCAAAATTATGTAAATATTTTAAATATTGAGGGTGACTTCAAAAGGCAATGAGACACTTGTCCTTGGTCAATGCTGTGCCTCTGAAATAAGCTACCAGTTTCATTTCTATTGGCTCTAGAGTCTAGACTTAGCTGTCTATAAATTTGGGTATAATAAGACAAATGAGACTCTTAAAAGCATCTTTACTTTATCACCATTTTGATTCGAGTAGTGATAGAATAGTCGAACGATTTCTCCCTAAGAAGTTTCGAATATGAGTTGGCAAAAGTCACGTCAAATTGTTTAAAATACGCAAATATTAAATGTTAAAACGTGAACGATTTCTCCCTAAGAAGTTTTGAATATGAGTTAGCAAAAGTCCCGTCAGGTTGTTCAAAATACGCAAATATTAAATGTTAAAACGTGGCTCACGTCGTAAAAAACTCTATTTTTTTTATTATTTATTATTAAAGTAATTTTATTTTTTTCTGCAGATCACGAACTCCATCTTTAGCACGAGGATGGAATCCATGTTATGATCTCAACGACGACAACTTTTCTTCTTCGAAGCCTTATCTTTCTGAAACACGGGACTCTGAAGCTAAGACCTATCTTTCTGAAGCACTTGACTCTGAAGGTAAGCCCTATTGGTTTTACAATTTCAAAACCCTAGTGGCGAGAATCTCTAATTATATATCCTTGACTCTTGTAAACTTTGTATTATTTGTTTCCCTCTCTTCCCGTCCCAAATCGCAATACATAACAGAGTATAGATGTAATACTCCGATATTGTAAAAAGGATTTCTTAATTAAATTAATTTATATTATATTATTATTATTATTTTTAAGTGATTTGTTTTATTTAATTAGGTGCTTGATAGTTGTGATTTGTTTTATTTAATTAAGTGCGTAGGTAAATTGTATTGTTTTAATTAAATTATATATTTTGTAATTTTATTTGTTAAATTTATACGGTGTTTGATTTGTGGAATGCTAGTTAGTGAAGTGTTTATTTGATTTGCGTGATTTTATGTTGGTGTACCTTTATTGTTAATTATTGGTAGCTATTAACTTTATTGTTAATTATTGGTAGCTATTAAATTTAATTTCATTATTTTAGGTATTTAAGTTATTTGTATTGGGATTAAAGGAAGTTGGACCAATGGATGTGGTATTGGGCTTGAAGGAAGCCTTGTTGGGTTAATTGGTAAAGGCCCGTGGTTGTGAGGATATTTAATAATTATCTTTGCATAATTATACCTATATAATTACATGTGTATATTAATTCATTATTAAATCATGTAGAGGGGTATATATGTCAATATAATTATATATTGATATATATAGGTATATATAATTTATTTAACTAATGGTTATTTATGGAAGGTAATATATATATGTTTATAGTAAAATATATGTATGTATATATATTATTTAAAAGATAAATATTATTTATTTTATATGATAATCCTAATGGGAAAAGGATTTAGTTTTTGTATGTATATAAATAGACACATAAGACTCTAGGGTTAGGAGTTTTTCCACGTTAGAAAAATAAGAGAATTAGAAAGAGAAGAAGAAGGGCTAACGAAGAGGAGGCCGGATCAAAGAACGTAAGAGGAGACCGGATTTGGAAAAGAAAAGGCGAGTTCTTCTCTACTTCTCCTCTTAGAACTCATAAACTTATCACCTTGATTATCGAAATTATAATTTTATTTTATTAAATTAAATTATTATTCAGATTGGAGGAGCATATTTATTCTTTACAAAATTATAGAATTAAACATGTGAATATATGTATGCATTATTCTGATAATTTAGATCTTGTAGGTGAGGTTAGGTTAATTAAATTTTATTTTTCTAAAATTTTTATATTTTGCGTTAACCTTGTGTAGCACGATTAATTAAATTAAATGGATTTTAATTTAATTGTATATGTTCATTTATGCCCAAAATAATAAATAGAGCTTTTGGGATTTTTCTGAGATTTTCTGAACAATTTCTGAAATTAATTTATATTTTTAATGTTAATTTAGAAATTGTTATATATATATATATATATATATATATATATATATATATATATATATATATATGTTAAATTGTTTAACAAACACACTGGAGGCGGCTAGTATTTGCGCATCAATAGGATTTTTATCCAGTGTGGTCGCGTACGTAGGAAAAGGGTGCACTCGTTGATCTAGGCCATAGGATTAATTTTATTTAGTTGGATTGATCTGGTGTGATGCGGTCCATTGTAAGTTGATACACATGCGGCATCAATGGTTAGATGTAGTTGATTAAGGGAGAGGATCCAGTGCATCGCGGCTTACCAAGAGCACCAAACAACAACCAATTAGGAGCTGCCAACACGCGCCGAGAGTGGCTCAGGCGCGTGAGGGCGCGTGCAGGCGCGTGGACGCGCCTGCCGGTAAGGGGAAGCGCGTGGAGGCGCGTGGGAGTAGTCTAGGGCTATGTGGCGGCGCGTGAAGGCGTGTGGGGATGCGTGTGAGGTCCTGGAAAGTTGCTTGAGACTCCGGTGAAGTTCCAGTATTTATCTTAAGCTTGTTAGGGTTAAAATTAATCATTAGAGGGTGTGTTCTTGATATTTTGAGAGCCTCAGAGTGTTACTAAGATACCTAGTAGCATTTAGTGGTATCAATATAATTAATTAAATATTGTTGCAATGAAAGGAGGCGTATATATGTGTATATATATGTAAATATGATTTTAAATAGTCAACGATTGGTATGGAATGTATGATACACACATATATATATATTACAAAATATATGTGTATATATATATTATTTAAGATTATTAAATATTATAAATCTTGTTTGGTATGACTTGATTCGTGTATGGTATGGTTGATTTAAAATCGTAATAGATACACGGTTATTAAATTAAGGACATGCTTATTATATGCATGTGAAATCTATGTATAATTATACCTAGAGTTAAGTTTAAAATTCATACATGGTTGAATTGTAGGCATGGATGAGTTGCCAAAGGCTTTGATATACTGCCTTATTGGTTATGAATAAATTTCATATATGGGAAGCATGGTTGAATTGCTAATTAATTGTAAAAGTAAATATAGTGAAGGAAGCATGGTTCAATTGCTAGTATATAAATAAATATATTTATAAATGGTATGGTTGATTTGCCGGTGCATATTTAAATTGCTATATGTGTAGATGACTAAATTACTGTTTAGGATAGAGTTAAGGTGAGTGGGGTTTACTTTATGAGAAAATTATAAAAGGGGGGGCTTGGTCTAGGTATGACTAATAATTAATTATTGGTGAGTGGTTTTGACAATTTAATGCCCTATTAACTGGTAGGATTCTTGCACTATATATATAAGTATTTATATATATTTGTAGCATCGTATATTAAAGTTAAAGCTTAATTAGGGATGGTTTTGGTAAAGATGATCTGTTTATTGGTTTTCAGAGGCTTGGTAGAGAGAAC